AGAGCATTTTGATTGGTTGATTTTAGTTATTGGCCCTCTGACTGCCCGAGTCGTGTAATAAATGATAATAGAAACATTGTTTAATATCTCACCACTGTGCTAACTGGGCTTCTGTTACGCTATGACTAAGTAGCTAAGATGTAGCGCACATGGTGAAAATTCTCGATCAGCAAGGGCTAAACATTGCCAATTCACAAGGAGGAGTGGAGAAGCTAATCAGCCTCCACCACTCACTTAAATATATTAATATGTCTGTATACGGTTTGGCATAGTTAAAAGTAGCCAATTGCCTAAACTCAAGGCTGCCAACGACAATGCCATAGTACATGTTTAATCTTTAACCCTGCTTGTTCTTTTGTTTGTTTGTTTGTTTGTTTCTTGTTTGTGTAATTTTTGTTTCTGTTTTTGTTTTTTTTTTTTGTTTGTTTGTTTTTTTTAATGGTTGGATTGATAGGAAGTTCCCATTGATCAATCCTTTAAAAGCCGCTCCAAATTAGTACTCCAAGAAAAACAAGACATCTCTCAGGTTTCCTAACTAATTACCAACTGTTTTTTGCTGGTTAATGAATTGGAGTTGTGAGAGAAGTTAAATATTTAATTGAAAAGTAAATCAGTCACTGGTAACGTTGATCGACAATGCTTTTTAATAAGAGGACACCCACTTGGTGGGCTGCGCTGTTTTTGATATTTCTGCTTCCAGTTATTTCCAATAATTTCATCTCTAATCCAGCGAGCCCTTACTATTTAAAAAAAGGGATAGAGCTTATAGACTCCCTTTCGGAAAAAATCTTCGATTGCTCGTGGTCATAAAAAGATGAAACTGAGACACACCTCTACCATCAGAAATTGAGTGATTTCTCATAACAATAATTTCAGAAGGGGATGTTTTATGCGCCATTCTAAACCGTGGTTGTCTTCATAGATGAATGATAAGAAGAAGAATGGAACCGCGTGAATAGGCTCCTCCTTGAGAAATTGATGGCCTGACGAAAGTCTCTTTTACCAAAGATATACATAAAAGGATTGAAAAAAGACGTGAAAAACCTCAGGTACACGAAAACATACTCTGTGGAGTGTGGAAGTTCAAATAACTTCTTCCCTAGGTTGTATTGCAAGCGAATTGTGAAGAATGGCAGCCAACAGACGATGAAGACAAACAGCATGATGGAGAAAATGGCAACTGCCTTCCATTCGTGGTGTGTCCTTTTCTTTGTCTCAGCCCATCCAGGTGAATTATACTGTTTGATATTGCGATAATGACGCAATATTTCAAAAAATATGGTCACATACACGATTGTCATGACCACAAATGGGATCACAACATATAGCACGAGATTAGTGACGTCATAGCGGATTTCGTGCTTAGTGAGGTCTTCGTCTTCTTCATCGACGTCATCGCGTCCATAGTTAATCCAAGCTAGCTGTATCAGCGATGCAAATATTGAGGAACTCCATATGAAGACTGAAGTTACAATAACCCTGTTCTTTGTGACCAAAGCGTTGTAACGAAGCGCATGTTTGATGCCAAGGTAGCGGTCCATTGTTATGGCCAAAAGATGCATAACCGTGGAAACTGACGTAAATCTCATAAAAAGCTGCGAAGCCACACAAATATTGGTTTTCCAGGTGACATCACAGCAAACATGAAGTGGTATGCTCAGTGACCCTGTCAAGAGATCTGACAGGGCCAGGCTACAAAGCAAAAAGTTCATGCTAGATTGCAGGTTGGGCTTTGTCTTCACCAAGTACAAAACCCATCCATTTAATCCAATGATGACAACGGCGACAGCAATGGGAGGAATGTGATAACGTGCATCAAAATCTCCGGCAAACTCTGCTTGGTGCTCATCGTGTGTTTCATTTGAGAAATTGCGACCCGCCATTGCGGTTATTTTTATCTGTTAGATTGGAAATTGAAACAACTGATTAATGGTAAACAAAACCTCTATGACTCTCTCAAGGGTTAACCTCCCTCACTATCAAGATCTCATAAACAGTTCTTCTTTCTATCTCCTGAAAAATCGTTATGATGTTAATTCGGGGAATTTGGTATTGGATCATCTAATAATAATTAATAATAACTTTATTAATTTCTATTGCGCAGTTATCAATATAAATTTTCAATTTCGCATTACAATATGATCTTAACGTGCACCTAAACCCAAAAATTTTTTTCGCTAAACGAAATAAGCTTATTTTTTTAGTATTTCTGGGCAAAAATTTTTTTATTTGCTCAGATCTTTAATTTTCTGTGCCCAGTCAAAATACGGAAAATCAGCCGCCATCTTGCCCCACGACCGAGTTTAAAGAGGAATGGCTCTAGCGCGTAATGTGACGTCAAATCGAGAACACGAAAGTCTGCATTTCACACATTTTCACTTGTTTGAGAAGGTTGTCGTCGATATTGTCCGAAATATGCCGACTAGGTGTGTTGTATGAGGAATGTATGAAGCGTGATACTCTCTAGCAAATTTCGCACGTTGTTTATGGAGTTAAATTTGCACGAACTTTACTTTTTTTGATAATATAATGCACTTCTTGAAGAAGAAAACTTCCTATCTAATAGATGTAACAGAGAAATTTATGATCTTTCGATTATGAGTGACTTCCACCAAGGTTGCCGAGATGTCAGTCGTTAATATAGACAATAGTCCTCCTTTGTGTTGTACTCTCACCGGGACGAGCACAAAACACGATCAACTTTAGATTTGTTCTTATTCTCAGCTCTGGTGATTACTTCCGCTATAGGGTTGTCGAAACATCGGTCGTTCATAAACCCTTAGAAAAGTTTTCTAAGGCTTTGTATGGGACAACGGGAGGTACTTACAGTGCACGCATTTTCCGTCCTGTCATTATTACATCCGAAACAGTCCCTCTCAGCAGTACTACTCTATCAAATTTTCGCACTTTTCGAGGACAATTTGCTTTACTAAAAATCCCCTTTCATCCTTCTCAATTTTCCTTCCAAGCTTCCTTATTATCAATTCTCTAAAAATTTCAACTAGTCTCCATCTTCAAAAAAAAAAAAATGACCAAAACCAATGTCGCCTTGTTAAGACTAAGAGCATCCGTCAAGGAAACAGTTCCAAACTACTTCATGAACAGGAAAATTTACAGGCGCATTGAAAATAAGAAATGCATTGGGCTAAATAAGAAATGACCTACATTTCTGTAACTGTTATTAAGAAGAATGCTATAGGAACGGACCGTTAAGAAGATCAGAAAAAGGAAAAGCAGAAATTCATTTATAAGGTACAAGTAGTTAAACTAAACAGATGAAAAGAAGTATATCGCTGTTTTTACTTTGTCTCTTCAACATGAAAGTTGATGACAGTCTTTTAAGTTGTCACATTATAAAAGAAAGACCAAGTGTTACGGTTTCAATATTATTATCATGATAAAATATTGTAGCATCATAAAATAATTGTTGAAAAATGGATGAAATATAAAGCTTAGATCTATCTTCTCTAATTTTTTCCGAAGGTTAAAGGAACAACTACACTTACCAAGATGTCCACAGGTAGAACTTCAAAAAAATTAGCGGTAAAAAATTAAGTTTCTATGTCAGTCGCTGAACCGTCGGACAGTTAAGTAAACTTTAGTCCTAATTCTTGTTACAAAACCGGTCGTTTGTTACGCTTGACGTTTTGCTTTTTCCCCTTTCACACTTTTTATCGTAGAGCGAAATGTTTTTCTCTGAATAAATTTTGACAGGTTTAAACTTAAAATCTAAAAGCTAACCGGTAATTTAATGACAAAGACGAAAATACAAATCCTCATTAGCATATTAATTAAATTGTTCAGAATTTGCCACAAACCAGTGCTCCCGAGGCTGTAAAAAAAAGCCCTCGTCCATTTGCTTAACGCTGACAACAAAACAATTATAAAAAGTAGAAGAGCTGAAAAGAAATAAGATTCTGCATTTATTTTTACTAAGGGGCTGACATCTACAACAACTTACATCTTCCTTTTCTAACAATCAGTCTCCTTTTCAAGACCAAATATTGCAACTGAACGAGTTTCTGCCCTATAGAATTGATTCTTTCAATTGAGAATTAAGAGAGTGTAGCGAAGATGAGAGACAAAGTGCCGTTCAAATGGAAAACCCTTTACTGAACTATAAACCTATCCATTCTTGCCCTTCAAAACAGTCATTACAACTTCATATCCATATAAATGAGGTCGTTTGCGGTTGTCTTTCAATAATGGATTCCCTCTTTGCTTAATTCAGTGGGAAACGCTTAAAGGCCCTTGAGCAGAAATAGATGATTTTGCTGGATTTTAAGCTATCGTATTTGAAACCTATCTCACCTCTTAGTAAAAGATGTATCAGGCATTTGATTCATTCCTTGTGCAAATAGACTTTCGTGCGATAAAGAACCAGCTGTTTTGGCTGAGTATGTTCTATTTCAGATTCGTTTTATATCTTTGGTTCGACCTAAAAATCAAAGCCGCTTTTCCCGAATCTTGTTTACATTCACTGCTTTCGGACTTTAGAAAATGAACTCGAAAAGAATATCGACAAATATTAGGTGTGTTTACCACTACAACTAGCAATTATGATTCCAAATAACGAAAGGTAGTCGGTTATTTGCAGTCAAATATTTTTTGGTCATGATATCTTACCACAAGAAAAATGAAGAACACTCGGTTCTTGTTGATTTCAAAGCTCTGCTTTCAACTGCTTTCAACTCCGTCAAATTTGTGCCCAGCGAAATCGCAGTTGTGTCAAGTGTATTTGAAAAACACCAGCCGTAAGTTACCATATGATTGGATTGCTTTGGGATTTAACTTTCATGTGGTTAGCTGTTTTGTCTCGTTTTTTCTAAACAGATCCAACATCCTGCAGAGAGTGGTTTCGTGATATGCAAATTCTAATCATCCTTCGATAATATAGACGCGTTTTATTTTATTTTGCTGAAAGCTTAACCGCAAGATCAGAGGAAATTTTTCAATTAGCCATTGTTTCGTTTTTTGATATTTCTTTTTTTTCTCAGGAAGGTCACTTTTCAAATCTCTTTATTCAAGACCTCTATTTCTGATGGTATTGTGAATCGTGTCAGTCATGTAAATCATTTTAGCTCTTTGAAAAATCGATTTTTATTGAGGCAAACCACTTCCTCGATGATGCTTTCTCAAGTACGGCATTTCAAACAATCAAGAATGAAAGCCTTAATACGTCTGGGGAACTTTTTTGGATGTTTAAGGTAGATATTCTCTTACCACAAGTATTTATATTCACACAAGCAATCATTTTTGTCCTCACGAAAATGTTAGACTCAATAAAAAGGTATATCTTCAGCCACGCAGTTAGAAAATACATTAGTAAACATCTTTCTTCATTGCTGTAGTTAAGAATCATTTATTTTTTGTTAAGAATCTGTAGTCTTACGTATCAAAAAGATACCAATAATACATATGAACAAAGCGATTATCTCGCTCTTAGTCGTCCGAAACCGAAAATCACCATTTTGAAGTTAATTTTCTGTCAGTACTCTCTGGCAAAAAGTTCACTCGTATTAGATGTAAACAATAAAAAAAAAAGAAAAAAAACACGAAGCAACCTGTAAAATCTCAATTTCTAGTTCATTTCATTCAACATCTGTTTCAAAATCCTGCCTTAAATTCCCTAAAGTTATTTTAATGCAAGTTAACGAAGATAATTGTTGTTATATAAGGAATAATGATCACGATTTTTTTTCTAGGTTGAAAAATTTATCGAATTAATCCAAAGGTAATAAGTGTTCGTGAGATCTACTCCCTAGCTCGACAAATTTCATACCTTGAAAGACTTAGTTTTATTCCCTTGATTTCAAACAGCCTTACTACGCCTGATCTCCTCAGATCTGCATTTTAAGTTAACTCTGAGATGTGTAAAAAGCGAAATACACTGTTTTGAAATGTGAATATCAATTTTTTTTCCGATTTTAGACTAAGCTTGACAAAATACCAAACACAAAACTGCAGAAAAGCTTCAAAAGCTAGAAATTCTACTTGGGATCTATATCTTACCTACTGGTTACTTTTTGTTGATTTATATGTTGTGTCACCGGCTTGATATTTTCCACACCACTGTGTGAGTTGCGTGCACATCGTACATCATTTAGTCAAGTATTTCACGAAAATACGTTCATTATATTTGGTCTAGTGTAGTGGTAATTTGATTTATAAACGCTTTCTGCATCATGCAGACGCGGTATTACCTTTTTTAACTCTGATTATTGTTTGCATTGGAAAGTGGTCTAGGGATCAAGAGAATGATCTTCATAAAAAGCCTCATTTATAGTTGCAGCTTCTCCTTGACTAACGCACTTGTCAACTTTTAAAATAAGAACTTGTCAATGATGCTTGACAGGAAATGCTTGCTAACGAAGAGAGTCCCTCTCAAGCTTTTCATATTTTCCACGAAAGGCGTCCTTCCCTAATAATCTACACCAATTAACTGACAAACTTCGCAATTAACAATTTTTCCGTGTCACCGTATTCTCCCTCAAAACTAACAAATCAGCGATTAATTTGGAGAAGGGAAATTGTCGATGCGACAAAGGACTTGTCAGGGACAATTTTTTCATCAAAGGGGACCTCGCCAATGGGCAGGAAATCCAACTTAAGCAAGTCATTTCTGCAGAGGCCAGGATTAAGAACCCCTATGCTGAAGACCATGTCACCCTAGAAACGGACTACGTGATATAATTACAGCTGCGGCAAGGCGAGGGAGAGACGTGACACGTACACCCAGCGGAGAAATCTGTGCTACAAATTATCCAACCTCAATTCGAAAACAAAAATATCCCCCACTGATGTGATACCTGATAGTCGCAGTTAATTGTCCATGAGAAAGATTTTGTGAGCGTCGCGTATAGGTAGAAAGGTCGTCTACCTGAAATACAATTCTGTCAAAACGAAAATCGCATTTCTTCCTAACTGGAACAAAGGACTCAAATGAGTAGATGGCTCGCTTTCGGCAAACCTGAAAATGGAAACGTTTTGGTCATAAAAAGGACAAACTTACCGCCTTAAGATTAAGTGAGCCTTTGCTTGTTCTGTCTCGTTCCTAACGGGTCTCTTTCCGATATGAACTAGCACTTAGGAAAAACATCCCTATGCCAATCTTTCTAATTTTTCGACAGGCCGCTTAACTAGGGTTCCATTTGCACTTTTCTCGCTGACAACACACTTTAATCTCCAACAACGTGCGAGAGGTCATTGAAACAAGACAAGCAACAGCTGATTCGAAATGAATTCTCAAGTTTTCTTTGTATTTATACTAATCGACCTGTCGCCCTCGCGTCTCCTACCGGGTATGTTTGAGAAGTTGACGTTATTAATTGCGTTATATTTCACAGGTGAAGATTTTTGAATTGCGGACATCTTACCAATAAATCAAATCGTATGCGGTGGTCGAGGGTCTGAATCACATAACTGTGTAAAAAAAGCGCTATCTTTTCAATGAAGCAAGATCAAAATATATCAAAGCAACAGATGTGGAATTCAGTGTTGCCTAGTTTTTCCTTCATCTTCACAAATGTCAGAACTAACATGATTTATTTGCAGCAAAACTTAGTGATCTGACGTTTCCTTTAATTAAAGGGAACGTGCAATAAAAACAAGAAAAGTTTTAAAATGACCTGGACGCAGACAAATTGTGTTCCGACCGATAAAAGTGACAGATATTATCGGCAATAAATCTTTATAAATGGAGGAGGATAGATTTTGTCTTAGCAGTCAATCTAAAGAGAAAACTAAACCAGCTTTGCAAATTAATACAGCGAAAGAGGGCAAAATAAGTCAGCATGATTCTGTAACAATTTTCTGTCGCTTCTCAACGAAATGTTGTTATCACTGACTTTCAATTAACCATTAAAATCGTTTATAAGGAAAGAATTTGCCTACAGACGATAAAAAGAAAAGGAAAAATTGAATAGATACGAATCTAACCATTTCTGATATTATAAAAGAAAATATCAGACTGATTTGTCGGCAATAAATATTTCACAGCGTTTGACAGTACTTCGGAAAGCTGAGAGTCTCACAAACACGCTAAAAGCCGATTCAAACAAAACGAATATATGGTCTTTCCTGTTATTGTCAACTTTAAAACAAACATTTGTTGGACGTAATCGAAATTTTCAACCTGTAATTGAAACAACAGATCCATTACAGAACACACTATCAATTCAAGTTTCTCTAAAACGCGTTATGCCGCGTGCATAGCCAAATATAGCACCATGACCCTTGTGAAGTGATATCAACCGCATAAAACTTTGACGAAAATAATATTTTTAGGTCAATTATCGTAGATTCAGGGACAAATTATGTTGTAGCCGTCTCGATCAGTTAAAGCGAACACTTTAAACATTACTCCACGGCGTTTTTTAGCCAAGATAGACTAGACTCCGGCATCACAACACCAGATTGCAGCATGTTTTGGCTTCTCTTGCAAATCGTTCGACCGCAAGTGCCGAATTTATCCAAAAACCGACTCAGTGAAGCTCAGAGTAGTTCAGTTGTTGCAATCTGTTATCGCTTAATTGCGCTAAAATTATAACATTCCAAACTCAAAATCAGAATTATTCATACGAAAAGTCGTGTGCACAATGTTCCAAAACTACCTAAAGCTACTTCAGTAATTGCACCTGTCTAACTCACCAAATACAAAAAACTTGGTGAAAAAAACTCATCATTGATTTGCCGAGTTTTTTTTCGATTCTTCTCCAAATTTCCCGATCACTGGGACAAACAAAAGGATATTTATAAAGTTAAAAAAAAATAACAAAAAACTTCAGAAGAACTCATTAGTTTAATGAAAATTGCGTTATAGTACAGACTCTTCTTGATGATTTATTTTCTCACTGAATGATCATCCTCTACTGAAGTTACTTAATTAAATCATCTCTACTGTACGAGCTACGTGTTCTCTCTTCCAAAGACGTCGACATAGAAAGGATCTTGGCCCTGAGAATAGTCTAAAAAAAGAACTCTTTGGAAACAGATCATATTTCCTTGAGCGGAAAACTGAAACTAATGAATTACGGATGCTCGACGGATGCAACTAAGAGTAGTTTTTCAGGCGGTAAGGAAACCTGAGATTTACGTTATAGAAATTTTGCAAAAACACATTATATTACGTAAACAAAATGAAAGCAGTAGGAATCCTCGGCGTTTTTGCTTGTTCTTAAGAACAACAAAAACAAATATTCTGATTTACATTAAATTTGTGAGCAAATTCTACTTTTACAGCCGGAGAATTTTGTGCTATCCGTGGGGTCTAATACACACATAGGGTCAAATATATCCAGGGGGGGAGCTTATGTATAGAATCAAAACACTTGCATTAATTAAAAAAAAAAAGCCGTTTAGCAGCGAAAACTTTCGTATTTCGCTGCAAGAAGAACATTTTGGAACGTTCGACTCCGACAGTGATTGTAACTGGTGACAAAACAGAACAGTCTTCAATCTAAGTTCTTCTCCAGAAGGTTGATCAATCGAGAGTTTTTCCACCTAAGTTTTGACGACGTTTAATTTACATCGTCCATTCTCCTTCTGCTCTGTCCTGCTCCTTCATTTTGTGTGGTTTTTGATATTGATAATTTCGCGCAAGAGTACGAGCTTATAAATAACTTATGGCTGTTTTTACACATGGGGTTTAGGGGGGAGGGGGGACTTCGTACAAGTTGGAATTCAAAGTATAGAAACAGTAGCTGAGCAAATATTAAAACTCAGTTGTTGCTTTACTTTCGTTAATTCTTTCGTTTCTCGGTCCATGCAATCACGTTTTGATAATTACACTCCTTTCCTTTCTTCCTTTCTTTTGTTTTTCTTTCGTTCGCTCATTTGTCTATCACTTATAAACTTTGCGGCAAGTTATAGACAGATAGTAGACATGTTTAATCAACACTTTTGTAGGCAGAGCTGAATTACAGTGCGGGTCAGAAAATTATACACACAATATAACAATGATATAAATAACCCTGGTAATATTTCACCAATTTCTCGTGTATGAATAATACAAATAACCCTTAATAAATAGTATTTCAACAATATATATATGCATGCACAACAATTTCATTACATTCAAAAAGTTATCATGAATATGCCCTCAAGGGTTACCCCTTGAAATTTACTCAGGGTTACCCCTGAGAAATTTATTGGTACAGAAAGCTCCGAATCTATCTGTTCTAATTCTGGGTCTCTCTACACCGGGGTAGACGAGTTAAGTTTCCCGAAAATAAGGTTAAAAAAAATTTACATTGTATACACTCGTTGCAAAAAAAAAAAAAGCTTCAGCAATGAACGATAAAACCCAAAGGCTTTCCGGGTACTTAAGTACATGATAACCACGATTACTTGCACGTGCGGTAAATAGAAAACTTAAAAAGACCGATTAATGGTGAACATATATAGGCTTATGACCAGAAGCCTTTGCGGTCTGAAAACTGCAATTTCAAAATACATTTCCAATTTGTACCACGGTAAAGTTACAATTATGCATTCAGTAATCTTTTCCTTTTTAGGAAGTAAATTCTGATTGGCTAGTTTGATGCTCTAATAAACCTCAGCTCTTGGACTTACCTAATCGCTTCTGGGTCAAAAGCTTCTGTCTTGAAGTATTTCAGGTATTCTTAGGGCGGTCCTTTTGTCTCTTTTTCAAAAATGTCTGAGTGTAACGTTCCCTCTTCGTTATGTTATTCAAAACAATTCTTAGCGCATTACCTAGTAAGTTGAGTTTTATTCATTTGAGAGTAGATTTGGGTGTGGCTATCAAAGGAGCATCGTATTTATTGTTTATATGCCGTTCAAATAGTGAAACTGAATCTGGTCACAATTAAGGGGCAGGAAAAGCTGGCAAACATTTGAATTCAGCATGGTTTCTAGAACTTCTACTAAATCGACAGTGGTTGGAGGGGACCGATTTTAGTGGATGCCTTACGCGCGTGTCCTCGCAATATTCAGTCTCACTATCACTGAATGGCATTGAAAACAGGAGAGAATTTTCCTCAATATCGCTTTCTGCTGATGAAGCAGGTTTTTTATTTGAAACTTCTGAGTTTAACTTGTGGTTATTCGTGCCTTTCAGTTTTGAGAAATGCTTTAACTTTTCCCTGGGCAAGGTTTTTTAAAGCTGGGTTAAGATAACCCTGGCCAGTGTTGAGGTGAAATCTGATTTCAGATCTAAACTTGGAGAAAATTCAATAGGATGATTTTTGTCTAGAAAGTGATTACTGGATGCTCTATAAAGAAAAGACAAATTTGTCCTGAAAAGTCTTTTGAACAAAGGAATAAAGAATCCCTGATTCAAATTTAACCGATTTCGCCAATCTTGTTTTTTGTAACATATAAGTTTAACATTGAAAATGAAACTAAACAAACAATAATAACGCAGAATTTAAGGAGGCCGAACAGCTCACCTTGCAAAACAGAACGTGTCTTCTTTAGTTCGCTGATGGGGTGTCTAATGAAAACGAAAGTAAGAAAGTGAAATGAGGTTTGCACTCCAACTTGCCGTATGATACGTTCACGAATCGTGGGGAAAGCAGTCTTTTTATCAGAAGCTTGTGTTCCTGAATGTGGTTTGTATAGTTTAAACCTTTACAGTAACGCGGACCACGTGAC